TCATTGTATTTATATAGGGTCAAGGAGTGTAGCTGTAAAAAATCATCAAAATCAGAGTTGAAATAACCGTTAAATCATGATTTTTCGTTTATAACCATCAAAAAGTTTTGTCCTATTACTTGATCTCTCTCATATAGGTTCAAGGAGTGTAGCTGTAAAAAATCATCAAAATCAAAGTTGAAATAACCGTTAAATCTTGATTTTTCGTTTATAACCGTCAAAATGTTTTGTCCTGTTACTTGATCTCTGATTTATTTTTTTTTCCGATTTTTGGCGTATATGATCTCGAAGTGTAAACAAATAAATTTGACGGTTGGATCGTTGAAACTAGTTTTGTAGAATGTGTATGCCATGAAAACAATATATTCACTAACAAATAAGAGTTTATTTATACTTTTATTAAATATAACATACGATTTTGTGGTATCTACTAGTGTAAATATTTTAAATTGATGATCGAATGCAGTCATTGTATTCATATAGGGTCAAGGAGTGTAGCTGTAAAAAATCATCAGAATCGGAGTTAAAATAACCGTTAAATCTTGATTTTTCGTTTATAACCGTCAAAATGTTTTGTCCTGTTACTTGATCTCTGATTTATTTTTTTTTCCGATTTTTGGCGTATATGATCTCGAAGTGTAAACAAACAAATTTGACGGTTGGATCGTTGAAACTAGTTTCGTAGAATGCGTATGCCATGAAAATAATATATTCACTAACAAATAAGAGTTTATTTATACTTTTATTAAATATAACATACGATTTTGTGGTATCTACTAGTGTAAATATTTTAAATTGACGATCGAATGCAATCATTGTATTCATATAGGGTCAAGGAGTGTAGGTCTAAAAAATCATCAAAATCAGAGTTGAAATAACCGTTAAATCTTGATTTTTCTTTTATAACTATCGAAATGTTTTGTCTCATTAATTGATCTCTTAATGTTTATTTTTTCTGAATTTTGGTGTATATGATCTCGAAGTATAAACAAACAAGTTTGACAGTTGGATCGTT